ATGTGTAATCAAACTTTTAATGACGGAGAAAGAAAAGTTAGAAATTACCGTCATTTAACTGGTAAATTTAGAGGCGCAGTTCACAATAGTTGCAATTTAAAATATAAAAATATGAATTTAATACTTGAAAATTTTCATAACTTTAATATATATAACTCACATTTTATTATAACTGAAATCTCTATTAAACCTGACTTTGAGCAAGCAATCACTGTTCTTTCTGAAAATAAGAAACGATATACATTAGTTACCTTTCCTCGATGAATTCCATAGTCAATTAACAGATAGCGATATTTCAATTAACGATTACGAGCTTGTACAAAATGTTTGAAATACCTTTGAAATCAATGATTTAGGCCAGTATTCTGATCTCTGTTTGAAAACAGATGTTTTTGAGAATTTCCGTAAAACTCGTATGAAAACATACGAACTAGAACCAGCACACTAGTACACTAAATTTGAACTAACATGTGATGCTATGTTAAAATGTACAGGTATTTCGCTTGAGCTTTCAATGAATATAGATATTTATGTAATAGAATTTAAATGTAATAGATATTTAAAGGCCACTAATAAATATATAGGTACAGAATCCAAGGAAGAGGAGCAAAGCAAAATTTTGATGCATTTTGATACTAATAACCTATACTGAAGGGCAATGACACAGTCACTATCATATGAGAGATTGAAATAGGTTTCTAAGATTGATGAGCCTGTTTTTTTCAATGTTCCCAATAACAATGAGGTCGATTATATTTTAGAAATAGATCTTGAGTATCCAAAAGAGCTGCATGATGATCATAAAGACCTACCTCTATGTCCTGAATATGGTATCCATCCCGGATCAATACAGAAAAAACTTTTCACAACGCTATAAGAAAAAAAACGATGTGTCATTCACTATGGAGCATTAAAGCGCGTACTTCTATGCGGATGGAAATTGAAAAAGATATATAACCTTTTAGAAATTAACTGATCATCATGGCTCAAACCTTATGTAAATTTGAATACAGAAAAAATAAAACAAATCACAAATAAGTTTGCAAAATTATTTTATAAGCTCATGTTTAACACACTGTATTTTCAATTATTGTTACGCGGGAACTATGGCATTTCGTCGATATCTCGAGCTACTCACGAGAAGGTTAGAAGCTGCTGGTGACATTTATACCCTCCAGAGGTCGCCTGAGTCTCTCCGCACAAAGATATCAACGTAGGTAGGATACTTTTGGGACAGACGTATAATATTGATAAATAATATTCTTGAACTTATAATAATAATCATTGTACATTATTTGAAATTAACAAACTAGAAATCTAAGTGGTATGGGGAGATGAAGCAAGAAGGAAGTGGTTTCAAAGGCTCGAAAAGCTGAGTAGTGGGGTTCTTACGTTTTAAAAAAAGTATGCATTTCGACTAACTTCATTTCGTCTTAAGAATTATTTAAAAGAAGTAGTGTCTTCCTATTTTTTGCTCTCAGTTTGGAAATCTCAATAATTATAAAAATGGTCTTTGACATGTTAAATAAATTGACAATGAAGCCGTCTGACTTACTTCCTGAAAAGAATTTTTATGAGTTGTATGAAGATCAAACATATCTAATAACAAATATAAATCAAGAGAACTCTGAAATAATTCTTAAAATTGATTTTGAATTTCAAATTATTTTACCTCACCGAATTTCAAGAGTAATTATCCACAATTTTGATCTTTATATGGAATTAAGAGAGAATATTCAAAAATATAATTTATTTTCATAGTATCATGGATGCAATAGATTTAAATTCATTACTTGATGTAATTAAATATTTTTTTCAATGTTTGACACTAAATTTTTTTGTGGAGAGGTAAATGAGTCACAAATGTTTTCATTAAAGCAGGTTTCAACTTGTTTTAACAGATTCACAAGAGATGAATTCAAAGTGGACGTACCTGATAGTTGAGAGCGAAGGTTGGAGCTCTTGCCATTGAAAAAATAAGAAGATTTTATTTTTTACTATGACATTTATTTAAATGAAAATTATTTTACATATATTTATTTTATTTCTTGTGTATAAAATTTTATCTAACCATGATTTGTGTGTGTTATCGAATCCTAACCATTTTACGTATATTTGATTGCCACGTTTCCTTAGAACTTTTTCAATAAGATAAACATCAGCATACATAGCTTTCTATGGATCTTGCTCGTAAAATACTCCAATAATTAGATTGTCTTTGTAATGTTTTTAGTGGTATGTGACAGGATTTATATATGCAACTCGTTGAGTAGTAAAAACCTCTGTACACCAGTTAGGAGAGTATTCTTTTTTAAAAATGTTTTTAGACTTACTTGTACTTTATTGCCTACTCGAAATTTCAGTTTCTTGATGAAACTATGTTAGTCGTAAAAGAGTCGTCTCAATACTTGAATTTTATATTCTTTAGTTACGTCTTTAGGCTTCATGTCTATCGTAATGTGTATGTGTGATATTTTCGATTATTGTAAGATTTCAATAAATCAATAAGGTAATCGAGCCATTTGTAATTTTCTTGTAGACTGAATTGTTTACACATAATATTTTTTAGCGTACGATTCAAACGTTCACAAATAAATTTCTTAAGATTACTATAGGTATAATATAAATTTATTTCATATTTAGTCATAAGATTCTGAAAACTTGAATTGTACAACTCTTTGCGTCTGTCTATGTAGAGATTTCTAGGAGTGTGTCCTTTTTTTAATACATAGTCCATTGCACTAGATACATCTGCATCAGCCTTTTGTTTTATAAGAATTATCCAAGCGTATTTTTAAGTTATATCAATGATAGATAATAGATATCGAAAGCCTTTGTTTTCTTTTGAATACCCTTACATATTTACAAGATTAGATTGCCACGTATCATCTATTACGCGTATATCAAATTTTTGACGTGGATAATTACGACATGCTGGTTTGTGTAGCTCATCAACGAATCTTTCATGTTCCATGTTTTATTATTTGATAATGATTTTATTGACGATTCAGATATTATTTTACTATATAGCCATGCGCCGAAACTTCAAGTAAACTTTCGGACAAACCATGAGGCAAATTTGTCTTCCTTCAAACTTATGCTTCAAGCTATGATTACGGATATCATAGGTATATGACGTGCACTGCGCACGTGCACTCATGAAATGACTACAGAACCACTTCAAATTTTCATCGCAACCTAACTATCAATCCGTAAGATTAATCGTACTTTTCCACATTTTTCCACACAACCACGTAACGCATGTTTTACACTTACTATATTTTAAAGTATTTTAAAATGTGATTTAACACAATTTGATGCGTACGTGTATGTATGTGCTGGAGCGTCTGTGTTTCCGGTGTTGCTGGTGCTGCTGATGTTGTTAGTGTTACTGGTGTTGTTGGAATTGTTGGTATTGTTAGTGTTGCTGGCACTGATGACGCTCTTTCTCTCTCAAAATTGTCGGCAATAGCCGCTCACGCATGCGCGTATCTGAGACACCTTGCCGGAAACCCACGCGCATCGGTACGGAACTACGTTGGATCCTGGCTGGATGCGACCCAGTCGACGTCACAAGAAACACTCAAATACCTCGCACTGGGCGCGTATCCAATAACTACCAAACAATCGGCGAGGGCACAGGAAACACATACCAAAAAAACTCTCAAAAAATGGTACGTGTGACGGCCTATTCAACAGCGTTGCCTCAACTGCCCAGAAACTCGGTGCAGGGATGCGCGCGCAACTCTCTTTCTTCTTTCTTTTGTCTCTTTCCCTCTCTTTCTCTGTTAAAATTATTATTCATAACAAAAAATATTGACTATAATTATACTACTTTTCATCTGATATCTATCTAATAACATTATTTTCGTCTTCATGATTATCTCCATTGTGGAGCGAATTAGGTATTAAGACAATAAATAGTTTTATCAGTCGAAAGTTTGACTCAAGTTCGGAACTAGTTGGATAAAGTTTGAGTATCTGAGCTGAACTAATAATGTAAAAGCAGTTTGAAACTTTGAATGTTTAAGAACGCGTATTTGGATGGAAAAACACATTCTATTCCTGTTCCGATAAGCTGGATTGAATAATAATTTATATTCTATTAAATAAATTTTTTTTTACAAGGGTAAAAGCTTGTAACATTGAGACGAATCGGAAATTTGTGTTCATATTATAAATAAATATTCAAATGAATAAAGTAGAGAAAGAAGCAGAGTTCAGTCGATATGAAAAACCTCAGTCACAAGTAGGAGAAAAGTCCTTTAAACTCTACCACTTTATTTATTAAGGATGTACAAACTAACCTCGATACAGAATTATAATATGCACTCGCAAATTATCAAATCTTAAGACTAACAATAAAACGTTCGTCTAACAGCTAGAACTATAATTAGACGCACAGTTGGTGAAGGTGTCTCTAACGCAATGACGTCAACATAACTCCATGAATGCAGCCTTGACTAATATTTATTGAGAAGAGGTGATCCGATGGGCACTTTACTGTAAACTTTGAAATACCCACAGGAAGTAGGACTTCGTCTGTGAGCTTGTCTTATAATTTTTACTGTGTGGAAGCTCACCAACTAATCACCACTCTAACGTCTCAGTAATATAACTAATTGACATTGGTCAAGCGGCCCATCGCAGCTCTTTCGAAACCTGGGTCATCTTCCTTCAGATACCTGAGGACAGTTTCGATGATCTCTGTTTATGTTCCGAGCAATGAGTTCGCTGCATGTTTACCAAACACATGCTGCATTTTGCTAATTCGGTCGTGACAAACTTGGGGAAATGGTAATCATCGTTCTCCTGGAAAACCCCAAATTCTCTTCTCTCTTTTTCTCCATACCCATTCGGCACGAACGCAAATCGCGCGAATACAACAAGAGTCGTCATAACACTGATTAATAATGACTAAAAGTCTTATTGTAATATTTTAAAAAATCATATAATAAGCTCTTATTATTTTACAATATAAACATTTTATAGTCACTTACCAACAACATTTAGAATCCCCGATACTATTTCTGTTTGGAATGAAGGTGCATCGGCAGAGACTTCACAACTGAATGAACCAGCTGTATCGGTATTGACATTTACTAAAGTTATCTGTGTTGCATTACTCTCTGATTCCTAGACAAAAGATTCTACTATAATAAACAATAGTAAAGAATTCTTTCATTAATATAATGAGATTATGAATTTTGACTAGAATAGTTACACTTATGTTCTACCAGTCAGAGTGATAATATAAATAAAGATCTATTACAAGAAAAAAGTTTCAGTTCAATGGATGTAATTTTCAGAAAGTTATGCGCAATAATAAATTTAGTATGTTCATTTTGATGCTGTTCTCCTTAAGACTATTATTATTTAGTTCTTCCCATTCAATATATATAAGTTCTTTAATGCGAAATATAAGTTTATATATTTTTGATATGTCTGTTTTATCTATCTGGTGACTGATATTATGTAGGATTTGCGATCGACGCACATGCGGGGAAATTTAACAATGAATTTTACTATTCTGCTGTATACTTCTGTAGTACACCAAAATATGTACAACATATAGGTTGAATGACCACGTAGAATATTTGGGTTCCGATTAATTCTGAGTGGCGCATTTGATAGCTCTTGCAAAATACTACATTTTTTCTTCTGAGAGTTTTTTCTTTAGAGTTGAAAATAAAAAAAATACAACCCATTTTTTGAAAATCTTTGTTTTTGTATAAAACACCATATAGCTCATAAAAAATAAAGGTAAAAAAATTTTCCGGATATGGATTTTGAAAGCTCTATCGAATGGCTTATACAGTTTTTCCATCGTAGAATCCGTTATATAAATAAATCGGGGTCGAAGTTGATGTGAAAAAATTAAAAAAAAACAATTTGTTTATGACGTCACAAGTTGTACAAAAATCAAATAAAATCAATTATGTTTTACAATATTTGAAAGGTCTTGGCAAGACCTTTCAAATGAGACCCTACAGGATTTTCTAGCTTTTATAGAAACTGAGCCATAAAACTCTAAAGTTTTGATGATTTCAGCAAGGGGATGGCAAATCTTTATGGACGGTAGTGTATATGAAAAAAAATCAATGCTTTATTAAACAATAAATCATTTATCGTTCGTTTGGAATGACATTGTAACAAAGAAAAGAAACCGGCTGTCAACTATTCAGAAATCGGTAAAGCGTGCCTAATTAAGAGAGCGTGATCACGCCGAGGATCGGTATCGTACGTGGCAACGACTCATGGCAGACTGATCGGCTCGGGTTTGCCTCACCCTCAGATTGAGGGGTGAATCGGTACGGTAGGTTAAGGCTTGCCCGCCGATTAGATGACGACGTGAGTGGTTGCACTCAAGAGGGAAGTCAGAGGGTCAACTCCCTAAGACTCGGTAAAAGCGGCGGAGAGGGCGAAATCACCTAGTCACCGTGGCTTGGAGTATCGTCTTCCCTTTAAAAGGGATATTGCAATGCTCTAGCCTGCTTTTCCTGGGAGGCATCGGCCGGGTATTTTAAATGTGGATGATTATCCTTGATGAGAGCGTGCGGCCGTCTGGCGAACGTTTACGGAACCAACGGATAGTAACGGTGGCCTTACACCTTTAACAGATTTACTTAAGGCTGATTCCACCTCAAATCATGCAGGGCACCGGGTGACCGGTAACGAAACAACATCAAAATACTTGGATAATGTTCTAGGCCCAAAATAAGACTACCCCTATTTTTTCTTTTCCCCCCAAGATGCATAGGTGCATCAATAACGTACTTGAAAGATGCACTTTCAGAAAACAGACTAACAAAAAAAAAATATCGTATTCAATTTCAATCGATTTGCGCATGCTTATTTATCATCGGAATCGAATAAATCTTTTTTTATACGATAGAGAAGTACAGAGCCTTCAAATCTATGCATTAAAATAAATGCACTAATGCATTTCCGAGAAGATTATGCACTTTTTCCAAAAAAATGCATCTCATAAAAAACTCGATTTATTTAAAAAACCCCGCTTTTTTTTGCGCTCATAATTTTTATGGAGATTCTCTGATACGCTACCTTCAATTCGGTATACGTCCCATTTTGGTTTCTACTTCTTTACTGAGAAAAAAAAATTTTTCAACTAGAAAAATTTTTGTGTTGACAATCATGCACTCATACTCGCAAGCTTATGAATAAAGAAGTACAACAGCTTTTTATTGATTATATCACTTTTTTTTATTGTTTGTCTTGTTTCTTTTTACATTCTTTTTCTTTTTAGCCTTCTTGACATTCTTAGGTTTCTTAGAAATTTTTCCAGCTTTAACCGAAACTTTCTTTGTTTTACGTTTCCTTTGATTTTTTTTCTTTTTATTTTCTTCTATTTTTACCCAAGAGTGAACAGCAGTGCGAGCTATGAACGATGTCGATTTACCTTCAGATATCACTGACTTCCACATATGACATCGTTGAATGCCTTCGAATTTGTTTGACACAATTCGTTCTGCCATTTTCTGATTACGAAAGTTTTGAACCTCAAATGCTTCCATATAAATCAATTTAATCAACGTAGTGTACTTTTGAACATGTTCAACGAAGCACTTCGCATCTTGAATGGCTTCAAGTTCAGAACTACGTAAATTATGCACTGTGGTATAGTGCTTCACCAAACCTCCTATACCATCAACAGCACCTTTACCATGTCCAGTCGCAGAAAATAACCATTTCTTAAATATTATTGAATTTTTGAATTCGTGCATTTGAAAGCGGTTTTTAAAATGACTCGCAGCTCCATCAGATACTATACTAATAGAATTGATTGAACCACCATTAATTTCCTCCATTTCGCTAATAATTTCGATAATTTTTTGCATCGCTAGTAAAGCGTGGGAATAATCGTGCTTTAAGTCATCGCTTACTACCACAAAACTTTTTGTGACATTGCCTACATAGCAGACAGCAGTGAAGAGAGAGACTTGTTTATTTACCTAGTGATTGCCTTGAACTGGATTTTTTGAAATCACTGACCAGTTCTCAGCAAAATCTATATGTATTAGCAAATGTTGGGGTTATAATTTTACTCTTTCTTTTTCATTTTTAATTGCTAACAGCTGTACTTCTTTGATTCGTAAATGTGATGTTACTGTAATTACATGATTAGTAAATTCTTCTTTGAACGTAGCGACGGATACTGTTCTAGTTTCTAAGTTTCCTTTATTCCACAGCGCAAACGTTATATTATTATCATTCTCTGTTTCATCTATATGCAAAACGTCAAATGTGACACCCGCAGCACCTGGACACAACTTGCATTCTTGATAGTAACACGTTTCTTGAGGTGCTGGACATACTACAGAAGATAAAACTGTCGAACGTAAACGGCAAACGTCAACACTACTTTTACCAATAAAGTTTTTCAATGCAATTAAGTACAGCTCAAAGTTGGCACAATAAATACATAAGCATACGTCATTCATTGGTTCGATTAGAACATGCTTTGGACGCATGGAATAGAACTTAGATTTGCTAATTTTTATACCCGGATTCTCTTCTTTCAAAGTGTGATATACTTCCTTTAAACTTCGGGTTAAAAAACGCTTGACTTTTTTAACTTTCGTGCCATTTTCTCTTACTGTTATAAAATCTGCTTTATTAGGACTTTGTCTCGAACAATTGAAGTCATCATTCAAATAATATTGCATGACAATATCGCCTGTTTTTTTATCCAGTGGATGACCATTGTACTGCTCTGGTTTAGTATAAATACCTGGATTAGAGATAATATAACAATAGCTATAAAAATAAAACACCCAAAAAAATTGTGCATTGATTGTTATTACATAACAAAAAATTTATATTTTTACCTTGATTTGAAACAATTTTTCTTGCCTTATCAATCATGTAAATAGTAACTTCAGGAAATAACGTCAAAATTTCGAACTTTGTTATCAATGGAACGATAATTGTTAAGAGTTTGATCACCTCTGAAAAACATGAGCAATTACTGAAGGCCTTAGAGAAATTTTCTCTCAATTCTTGAGGGAAATAATCATTTAACTTTTTTACAGGCTCCTCAATAGGTACATCATAAATCTTTTGTAATTTACAATTTGTAGCTTCAGAGAATGATGATACAAGCTCTCTCTTTTTTTTCATAACATATTTTTCAACACTTGTATTTTTTATGTTTCCTTTCTTACGCAAAGGAGATACTGGATTTTCTAAATTAGCAATTATTTTATCATTAAATTCATCCATGAAAATTGAGGTGTCTATAAACTTGTCTTCTTCGTCATTCCCTTCCATTGAAATATTGTCATCTGACATCGTTTCTTCTTCTTTTTCTGCTTGTATTGCATCGCAAGCTTTAACGATACGTTTATAGCAGTTACTACACACACTGTCACTAGCTTTTATATCAGGATTTGTAAATTTTCCTTGTAAAAATACAGCATAGTCACCAATTTTTTGAAAATTCACTTTGTTGCTATTATACATCACTTTAGTATGTACTTTGAAATAATTGGGGCATTTTAATCTTTGCGTAGAATACGTTAACATAGCTGACATGTTGTCAAGCAGAAATTCAAACACGCACTGTCGCTACTTACTGAATAAATGATAAGACTATTTATAAGTATCATGGAATTTGTATACACAAACAGGACTACACACATAAAGGTCTATGACAACAGCTGACATCATAACAAGTCAATACTCGCCGATTATCATGTTATTTAAATGCTCGTGAGTGTGAATGCAAGATAGTCAACATAAAAAATTTTCTAGTTGAAAAATTTTTTTTTCTCAGTAAAGAAGTAGAAACCGAAAATGGGACGTATACTGGATTGAAGGTAGCGTATCAGAGAATCTCCATAAAAATTATGAGCGCAAAAAAAAGTGGGGTTTTTTAAATAAATCGAGTTTTTTATGAGATGCATTTTTTTGGAAAAAGTGCATAATCTTCTCGGAAATGCATTAGTGCATTTATTTTAATGCATAGATTTGAAGGCTCTGTATTTCTCTATCGTATAAAAAAAGATTTATTCGATTCCGATGATAAATAAGCATGCGCAAATCGATTGAAATTGAATACGATATTTTTTTTTTGTTAGTCTGTTTTCTGAAAGTGCATCTTTCAAGTACGTTAT